CACAATATACTAAACCTAAGTTTAAAGCTACCAACCCATCCTAAGGTATGTGGAACACGCTAATTCAGCCTTTGCGCGAACCTAAAATAAGTACACACTTAAAATATGCAGACATATGCAGTCTTAACCATAAAGGTTAACCACGCACTAACAATCCTTAGTGGGTTAACCACGCACTAACAATCCTTAGTGGGAACACACAAGTTGCCGTTTAGCATCACGATGCTAAACAACTTGAGCCAGTCACCATAACTCGTAAGTTTGAGCAAGCATTGGCTACAGGAGCATATTTAACATATCTAGCGTAACTAGATCTCTTGCTTCGAGCTAAATCTAGATAACTCTCCTCGTCTGATCATAGTATTGCCTTTGAGTGGCTTGAGCTTTGAGTTGATTCTTGCTTGCTTGCTCAATTATTTTTTGTCTTCTTTCCGCAAACTCTTTAGCCAGTATATCAGTTTTTACTTTCGCATCATTTGACCTTAATTCATTTTGCCATGGAGAGCGTTCCTTACTCCCGGTTTTCTTCAAGCTTCTAACAAAGTTGCAAGACTTTGAGTTATGAACAACCATCGTTTGCGAACTCAAGTTATGTCTCAGAAATCATGACACTTTAACAGCTGCTCATCCTGGAAATCGTAGAACGTTCTTACGAGTTGCGATATCAAGGAATATGTCAAGACGTTTGAAAATTTGTGCACGATAATCAACGTAAAAATGGTTTGCTTATGCCTATTACAATCCCAGAGCAATGCTGGCATGTTGTGTCCATGAAAATTATAACAGGGCCTCCTGTTTCAAATGGTTTTGATGCAATTTTAACTGTTGTCGACAAAATGTCAAACGTGCTAAGACGCTGCAGTGAATGATAATGATGACGCCCCTACAACAACCAAAGCATTCTTTGAAGCTGTAGTTCGACCCCATTGCTTACCTGAAGTTATCATCAGTGACAGAGATAGCAAGTTCACTTCATCATTTTGAAAATCTTTGATGACGATCATGGGTGTTCGACTTAGTATGACAATACCACATCGAGCTCAAGGTGATGGACAAAGTGAGCGTTGAAGATGCACTTAAATGTATGGTGTCCTTCCATGGTACAGATTGGACAGATTACTTAGGCACCATAGAATATACTCATTCGACACTAGTCAGCGCATCCACGGGATATTCTCCCTCTGAGATTTAACGTATTATCATGTTTGATGAACAAGGTGTCTGTATCAGACTTTGTCCATGAGTCCTGGAACTTAGCATCATTGGCATACCCTTGATAGAAGTTTTTACGAACTTCTGGAGACAGCTCGACATACAATGCAGTCATTACTACAGCAACTTGAAGAAACTCATTCCCCTCCCGAATCAGAGTTGGCCCGGAAGACGAAACTCGCAAACGAGAACCACGATCTTGATAATTAGCATCACAATCATGGAAGTCAACGCTAGAAGGAGCCGCTTTGCCTGGACGACGCGAAAAGGCATCAGCTACGACGCTAACAGCACCATTGATGTGATGGATCGTAAACGTATACTGGGAGATGATGTCAAATATCTTGTCAATTTTTGAATGATGAAGAAGCCATGAACGTGCGCTATTGTCAGTGAATATCTCAAATTGATGACCGTAAAAATAATGACGCCATTGTTCGAGACCAGCTATAATAGCAATCATGTGCCGGCCAGTTAATCCCATAGACACCAAGCTCCTTAGAAAAGAAAGCAACAAGATGATCATGACCATTTACAAATTGCGAAAGGACACCATCAATACACAACCCTGACACATCCGTAGTGAGAACGAAGGGTGTGAAAAATTAGGTTAGATAGGAACTAGCGTTTCTCGTTCTAAATGGATTCGTTCTGGTTACTTTGATTTATTGTTACGATGGGTTATTCATTTTCGGTATGTCAGCTCTGAAACTATTTTTCCAAAGATTCTCTTATCACATATTGCTGAATTATTTGACAAGATGCAAGAAAATTGTAATTGTGTTGATTTGGCACAAGGTCATCATCAAGTGCGTATCCATCCAGATAGCACGAGATAAACCGCATTTCGTACAAGTAATGAAACCAATCAATGAGTGTGTTGCACTAATGGATCTTGCAGGAATGCCTGGGGTTTGGTCATATCTTATGCGAGTTCTTTACGAAAAATGTCGATTTGGTGTCGTATACTTGGATGATATCTGTGCTTACGCTAAACATTTAGTTCATTTGAAGACAGCGTTTCAAACTTTGCGCAAAGAAAAGCGTTGTGCTCATTTTGGGAAGTGTAAATTTGCATTGAAAGAGATAGCTTTTCGTGTCATACTGTATCTAGGAATCAGAATTGAAGCGATTGCTAAATAGCTAGTCCCACCTTCAGTCAAGGAACTTCAAAGTTTAGTTGGTTATTATCCAAGAATTTCCCACTAGTGCTCGGATTGTTTCCCGTTAAGCCAGATTGTGAAGAAAGACACACACTGGTAGCGAGGTGAAGATCATGATATTACATCTGCTAGTATCAAGTCTGCTCTCCAATCTGCACCTGTACTTACCTTACTTCTGCTGTAAAGCATCTTGTTCCACTTTAGGTAGTCGAATAGGTGGTCGATTGCTTGGCGGAACTCTTGGTTTTATGGTCAATTCAAACTCTATCAAACGATGTGGCGGTAAAGCATCTGTCAATTTCTTGGAAAACATTTCTTTAAATGAATTCAGGAATGATTGTAGTTGAAGCTCACTTTGCTCTTCCGTATCGAAGAAATGATACGATATGCTTCTTCACATTGTGCTTTCTATAATTTCTTTGAAAAATCTGACGCCGATATCACATGATGTTCAAATGTCGAATTAGATGCACCATTGCTGCTACTAATGAGACTTTATGCGTACGCCAGTTGATAATTGGTTCATGGGTTGTAAGTCAAGTTTTACCCAAAATGACGGCTTGTGAACTACCGGCCATTGGCCATTCCATGACCGGAACGGCTCAAAATTGATTTCCTTCCAAGGATATATCTGCCAACCTTTTCTTTACTCCTTCTTTATGGTATTGTTGCCGTCGAAACAAATAACTTAACTTATCTCTCCAGAATGGATATTTTATAAATCCTGGCTTGACCATATTGCACGTGGCACTTGAATCTAGCAAAGCAGTGACAGCACGATTCTCAAGACTTCCTTTCTTTGTGTTATTATATTCATCACTATAGTCTGCAACTTCAGCTTCACTAAGTGTTGTGATAGCTTCATGAGACGTTGTAGCAATCGTTAATTCATGACCAGACTCATTTCGAAGTAATTGTTATTGGCGCGATTTTTATGATTTCGATTATCTTGATTATAGTTGCCTTGTTGTCTGTTCTTCCACTTATAAAATTGTTGCATTGTATGACCAAGTTTCTTGCAATATGAACACTTTGATTTATTTATAAGGCGATTTTGAAAAAGATTTCAAAACCGAGACGAACTTTGAAAGGGGCGCACATGGTCAATTTCCATAGGTTCAGGTTCATCAAATGACCGGAACACTGACTGCGGACCAGGACGTGGATAACGTGGTGCAAACCATTAAATTACTGAAATGAGCACGCTCAAAATCGAGCGCGACTGTGACAGCCTTGTTTGAAGTCTCGCAACGTAAATATTAAACTTCTTCTCTTGTTCTTTGCCGTAATCCTCTCTGAAAATATATGATTTGATCAATCTCCGTCATGTCTTTAGTTTGAGAAATGAGTTGGCCTAATAA